ACTCATTTCACTGCCATGAACGGTAAAATTAATTATAATTTCTCTGACAGTCCAAGGGGTACAGGCTCTTCAGATATTATACTCCTAACCTTTCTATAATGATATCTGGGTTCAAAATTTAAATAACTCAACCTTGGTGGAGACAGTGGCCACCTGAAAATTACAAAAATAAAGGAGTTGTAAATCACTTATGAAAAAAATATTTACTCCAAATTTCACAATTTTAAGTTACGTAAGACAGGTGGGTACTCAAAAAGTGCCGGTTGAGCAGGTTTGTCCGCTCAACACAGGTGGAGCAGCTAACTGACTACATGAGCTAATATAAGTGACTAGAACTAACCCTCTCATGCTTTTTAATTGCTCCAAAGTCCTAATATTTAATATTAAGGGTTATACCAATCATATTTCATAGAATAGGATCCTCAGAATCGGCTCAACCGAGGTGGAGACAGCATAACATGCAGTTCAAAATCTCTTATTCTGTAGTTTAGGAGCTGTAGAGTGACTGTGGCAGTCCATTTGCAATACCAATGATTCTAAATCATCTACCAACTCATATTACAAGGCATCCTTGCTGAAAAGTACACTCAACATAGGTGGAGACTCAAATTTGGCAAATTTGGGCGTAAATTTGACCTCAGAAGTCAAGGTTCTCCACCGCGGTTGAGTGGTTGATGGCTAGTTTGATGAGTTGTATACATGCTAAAGGGTCACCCAATGTTATTTCTTCCAGAAATCAACTGCCATAGCTCAACTCAACCCGGTGGGGCCAGTTTTAATGCATTTTTAATGTTTTAATGTTTAATCAACAATTTCTCCACCTTGTTGAGCACCTTTTCACAACTTTGATAGTTTTTTCATTTGCTAGAACACTTTGCTTTAAGACAGAAGGGGTAACAGTTTTATGATCCCCTACAGTAGCAGTTAACAGGGCAGATTAGAATTAAGGATAAAACCAATGAATTTAGGCATGTTTGACAGGCTTTTTACTGTTTCTTAATGAAAGATCTCCACCTTGTTGAGCGCTATCTCAAAAAACAAAATTTAACGGGAAGTAGAAAAGGCCGAGACGCAACTTTCTAGCTAACCTAGAACTCTCTAAACCTTTCTCCACCCCCGGTTGAGCAGCTTTGAAAAGTGCATTTAATTTCTCCACCTCGGTTGAGCACTTAAATAAAATATTGATAATACCATCAGATTGCAAATTTGATGTAGTTTGTGTTACCAATAACCTTTTCCACCTTAATCAAAAGTTTCTTCAACCAGAGCCAGTCTCCACCTTAAATCTCCACCTTTTAAGGGTTTGTTTAATACCACCTGTATCTGCTCAACCGTTCAACCTTTTAATTTTTTTTTTTACTCAGAGAAAGTCCTGAAAAATGTCTTGTCAGCCATATAATCAGGGAGTTTCAGTCTGTGTTGAGCTGGCTCCACCACACACTTCTAAAAAAGTAAAAAATGTACAGGTTGTCTCCGAACTTGACCATATTCTAAAATAGCTAACTATCAGAATATTTATTATCTAATAAGTTTACTTAATCTAAAGCTTGTTCCGTTATTTACATCCTAAACACACTTACTGTGTTATAAGTCATACTTTATTAGAACATAATGCAGTGGGTCAACCCAAATGTATATCAGATGCTTCTAAAAATATACTCCGATTTAAGTAATTAATTCCAATCATTCACAGTATAATTTGATTATGGAATGGTCTCAATTAAAATATCTTATCTAGGTAAACTATAGGTAAAAATATAATATTAATCATAAGCTAAAATGTACTAATCTTTGTATTCTAAATGGGGAAAAAGAAGAAACATTGTCAGTCAGTTATCCAACTTTTTCATTCTTTCAGTCCCTCAATTTTGTTTTAATTTTAGTCTGATGACTGTTTTGAAATAAAGTAAATCGTGAAAATTATAACTATAGATTTGGTCCCTTGATTGTCAATTAATAGTAATTGACATTCGCAAATCAAGCATGCTCCATAAATAGTAAATACTTGATTCAATAATAATTCATTTGCATCATTCTGAGCAAAGTGAATATGCTCCTTGTCTGATAAAGGTGTACGAAAATCCTACTTCTCAGCTGCAGTATTATAGCAGTGTCTTTGCTTCAAGTCCTATATTTATACTGAGGCTGAGGGATTTTCCGCTATATAAACCGCATTATTAGCGGTAGTTTCTCCGTTTACTCTAGTAGCAGGGTGTAGTTGAGTGTGCACTTCGATGTGTACTATTTCTGACAACACAGGGTTGTTTGTTAGGTCGTTCTAAACCAAAATCGTTTAGGTGGACAATTTGTTTCGCTAGAGACAACCCTACAGGGCAAATTTTCTAAATTACCCTCAGTCGCGTATACGGGATTTTCGTATTTCGGCTCCTGAAGGTCATAGAGACTTAACTTTTAGCTTAAAATCACCGCAATGGCCACATTTATATACACCTTACTAATCAATATATGGTCTAAAATTGTTTGTTTCCGAGATATCTGCAAAAAACTAATTTTAAGTTCAGGCGTAGGCACAAATTTCATCAAATTTGTATCTCCGCTTCTGAAAGTCTTAGAGACTCAAATTTTGGCTTAAAATGACCGCAATGCACATGTTTATAGTGACACTATAAAGGTCATAAAGGCCCAAAATGCTTACTTTTGGAAAAAATCCGAGAAAAACTGATTTTCACTGAGGAAGTGAAAAAAATCTACTCTAGAAGCTAATTGAAATCGAGTATGCAGTTTGGTGTCTACAACTTTTCTAGAAACCAGGTCCTTTGTAAGGTCATTCTGGATCAGAATTGATAAGGTACGCAATTTCTATCAGTAGTTCCAACCCTAGGGGGGAAATTTCTAAATTACCCTCAGGCGCAAATATATGACTTTTGTATCTCGGCTTCTGAACGTTGTAGGGGCCTCTATTTTAGCTCAAACTAACTGCAAGGGCCACATTTACATATAAGCTATAAAGCAACATAGGGTTTATAGTGCTTAGTTTTGGAGATATTCATTAAAAACTGTTTTAACTTTCGTGCATCCTAAAATAGTAACATCAAACATGTACTTAATTTTGGTATCCCGGGCTAAAAAAGTCTTACAGGCACTTTACTTGCAGCACAGCAAAAGTTCAGCATGAACACATTCAGATAATATTTATGAAGCAACACAATTCAGTTTCAGAAGCTCCTTCCAGCTATCTTGTGTTATCCTTAAATGTATACGTCTAACCATCTCTCTGGTTACTATCATCTCGTTAAAAGCAAGGCTCGACCGGGACCGATTTTTTGGCCGGGACTGGGACTGGGAAAAAGTGCCAGGACCGGGATTAAGACCGGGACCGGAATTAAGGATCGGGATGAAGCCCAGATCCCGGTCTTAACATAAGTTGGGCTCTCTCCAGTACTTTTTGGCTATTATAGCTAATCAACTCCAATCCAACCTCATGTAGTAGAATCTACTTCTAGTTTCCTTCAATTCAGCTATCTCCACTCTAGCTCTTTGTAGCAATCTCTGAATGCTACTTCCTGCTCTATCTAGCTTCCACTAACATCCAATAATTTTTGTTATGCTACTATTAGCACCTGCAAATTCTAGCCCTATTCAGCAACCTCAGACTTACTCCTACTCTGTTCAGCTATCACCAGCACCTTCAAATTCTAGCACTATTTCCAGCAACCTCAGACTACTTTCTGCTCTATGATCCAGCTAACACTAGCAAACAGTACCCACAAATTTTAGCTTCTTCTAGCTACTTCGGGCTAGAAAGAGCTAGAAAGAGCTACAATTATAACGTGTTGGTGGTAGCAGAATTAAAAGTAGCTAAAAGTAGATTTTACTTCATGAGGTGGGATTGAAGTTGATTAGCCATAATAGTCAAACAGTACTGGAGAGAGCCCAACTTGTGGTAGTACGAGATATTTAGATGTTCATGTATAAATTTGGGGATTGAAGTAGTTCGAAGTAACCAGAGAGATGGTTAGACGTATACATTTGGGGATAACACAAGATAGCTGGAAGGAGCTTCTGAAACTGAATTGTGTTGCTTCATAAATATTATCTGAATGTGTTCATGCTGAACTTTTGCTGTGCTGCAAGTAAAGTGCCTGTAAGACTTTTTTAGCCCGGGATACCAAAATTAAGTACATGTTTGATGTTACTATTTAAGGATGCACGAAAGTTAAAACAGTTTTTAATGAATATCTCCAAAACTAAGCACTATAAACCCTATTTTGCTTTATAGCTTGTATGTAAATGTGGCCTTTGCAGTTAGTTTGAGCTAAAATAGAGGCCCCTAAAAGAGAGGCCCCTACAACGTTCAGAAGCCGAGATACAAAAGTCATATATTTGCGCCTGAGGGTAATTTAGAAATTTCCCCCCTAGGGTTGGAACTACTGATAGAAATTGCGTACCTTATCAATTCTGATCCAGAATGACCTTACAAAGGACCTGGTTTCTAGAAAAGTTGTAGACACCAAACTGCATACTCGATTTCAATTAGCTTCTAGAGTAGATTTTTTTCACTTCCTCAGTGAAAATCAGTTTTTCTCGGATTTTTTCCAAAAGTAAGCATTTTGGGCCTTTATGACCTTTATAGTGTCACTATAAACATGTGCATTGCGGTCATTTTAAGCCAAAATTTGAGTCTCTAAGACTTTCAGAAGCGGAGATACAAATTTGATGAAATTTGTGCCTACGCCTGAACTTAAAATTAGTTTTTTGCAGATATCTCGGAAACAAACAATTTTAGACCATATATTGATTAGTAAGTTGTATATAAATGTGGCCATTGCGGTGATTTTAAGCTAAAAGTTAAGTCTCTATGACCTTCAGGAGCCGAAATACGAAAATCCCGTATACGCGACTGAGGGTAATTTAGAAAATTTGCCCTGTAGGGTTGTCTCTAGCGAAACAAATTGTCCACCTAAACGATTTTGGTTTAGAACGACCTAACAAACAACCCTGTGTTGTCAGAAATAGTACACATCGAAGTGCACACTCAACTACACCCTGCTACTAGAGTAGTTAGTTTGATTGTTCTCTGTCTTGTCCGTTTCATCTCTTTCAGAACTGCGACATTTCGCACAAAAGCCAGGTACACAGAGAGGGAAATGGAGAGATTTTTTAAGAGGTTGAATTAGGAAGGAGTCTATCAACATTTGTAGAGGATGAGCAATAAAACAGGGCAGCAGTATCAGGGCTGGGTCTCCTGATAATTAATAAACTATTAATTTAATAAATTAATAAATAATTAATAGAATATTAATAAACTATTCACATGACAATTCAATCGTTTATGACAAAGCTGTTTCCCGTCTAGGGACACTCACCCAGGCTTGAAATAAAACCTTCCACGATCTTCATAACCTTCATATCAGAAAATTAGCAATTGCAACTAATAAAATTTCACAAACACGACTTGACTGACCTATTTTGTCAGGAAGCGCTGACGCTATAGCAGCTGTGAGCACTAAAGTCTTTTGTGAGCAGAGTAATAGCATTACTGACAGGTGTATCCTGAGAGTAACATGTGGGTTATTAGCGACATTGTAGGAATAGGGTACATTGACATGATTCAAATACTTTAAATTATTCACTGAGATCTTTTAATTCTTTTCTCTCTTGAGTCTTGAGTCGGACGATCATGGTTTATTACTGAGGACAAAATGGGAGTCAGGGAATCTCCATTTGCTACGAAACAAAATACATCAGGTATGCGTGTTTAAATGTACTTTGTTTCATAGCAAGACTCTCATCTCGTCCTCGGTAATCAATAAATTAACTGAATTTTTTAAATTTCTAACCTCTTAAAACAGAAGGAAACCGAGACAAGGAAATTGAGGAGCAAGAGAAGAAGATGACATGCTATGATTATTCCAATGAGTATAAGGATGTCAGTCAACCTGTAAAAAGCGAATCTCATAAATAAATAATATAATATAATAAATCGTTTTATCTAATACTGATAACAGTACTAATAATGATAAGTAGAAAATTATTGCCTACTAAATACAGACATACAGATAGAAAACAAACAATAACTTCCCTGATCTGTCGGCAAAAGTACATTTTTATCAAACTAAAAACTCACGCTATCAATTCAAAAGTTCCTTTCTTGATGCTGGTGCTAAGTTTAATCCACAATATGATGACGATTCCCATACTTTGAACTAAACCTATTTTCCTTTTGTGGACTTTAACGACCTCTCTCACACGAGCGAACACCACGGACACTACTTTACCTGAGATGTCAAGTCTTATTTTTAGACATTATAATGAAGTACTGAGAAAATAATTATTTTCGTTATTCACTACGAGCTTTACAAACAGTTTCCATGGATAAATCACATAAGGAATCTTTTCTAAAGTTTTTTTAACAAAAGAGAAATTGTTAACCTACAAAAAGTGGTAGTATCAGTGACAATCCCAGTTTCATCACCAGTTTCGTACTGTCTGCTTTCATGGCCTCTGAAAGTTAACACCTCATTTTAAAGCTAAACATCTTGTCTATACTATTGTCTAATATACTCGACTATTTCATAATACATATTAACAAACTCTCCGCTACGTTTTGAGTAACACTCACTTCCGCCCTAATGTTCTATTAGTCTATATTACTACTGTTGAAAATACTAGGTTGTATTCCAACCTGCGTCTACGAAGAGTGAGAAGAGAAGAGGAGTAAGGAAACAGCCAGCAAGGTTTGTGATAGTGGAGACAGCCACTGCTACAGCCACGTCACCTTCAGCTCCCGTTACCATGATTATACCTAAAAGTAAGGTACAAGGTCAGCACAAGTAGATGTAGATTTTAGAAACTTATGTTCGTGTTAGATTCGAATGAAAAATGTGATTGTGTTCGTCGACCGATTTTGGCATTCGGAAAAAGAACAGCTGGTATTAAACTGATGATGTTTGATATGAAGAAAATATGGTCAATCATAATCATTCGGTTAGGAATTATTAGTCCAACATACATACCAGTAGCGATAGTGGCGGGAGCACAGTTAAAGAGAATTATCCCAAGTTTCAGTTCATCTGGACCAAATGTAAAGGTTCCGTTGCTTGAACCATCTTTCTTATCAAATGGCAACTGGAGCAACGTGTATTTTAAGGATTATAATACAACTAAATGAAATTAAATTTCAGTTTCAACATTAATTCGAATCGGTTTACTATGAGATATTTTGGGGCAATAAATTCCTAAATGTAAACACATACCTGATGAACGATGTATCCTGGAATGAGTGTTGTAATAACCAGTGAAGTAACACAACAAATGATGACAACATCAACTGCCCTGTAGACTGATTTTAGTTCATCTGTCTTCAGCTTTAGTCCTGAAATATGTGAAAATGTTTTCAATTTCATTCTATAAAGCTGTAATGCAGATATCGTCATGTACACGATTGTTGATTCAAGATAAGCCGTTAAGCACTTCAACTGAATAATTATACAAAGGTGTACTGTTTACTAGCTTTAAGAATAATTTACCAGTAAAGAAAAATATGACAGCCACAATGCAAAGAGAGACAGTTGAGTTGGACAGTTTGGATCCGGGAAGCGGCCAAGCAAACGCTAATACTACAGCTATAACCTGATCAAATGAAGGGATGTTAACGATTACAATAGGGGATTATTACTGGGGAGAGATTATTTAATATCTATCGCCCACAAAAATATCAAAACCGCATAAAACGAAACAAGAATAAACAATCGTACTCATACCTCAGTGATGATTAAGAAGTGTTTTAGGATGAATTCCTTTATTTTAACAGAATTTGAACATTGAAACAAAATGCCCAACATTATCCTGTAACTTTAAGAAACTAGGAGAGGAAATACTAGAAGTCTGAAAAGAGCGAGCTAAAAGTAAACGAAGAAACACGTATGTGATGAAAAGTGATATCATTGAGCTTCTAAATATCACCGACTCGTGGTGTTTAGTTTGTTTTCATGGGTACCTAAAGAGTAAAGTCTGTGATTCAATGTAATTATGCAATATTATCCGAAACAATATTCAATATTCTTTGAAATAATTCCGTATTTTAATGTAATTTGAATGTTAAATGTTTAAGAGGAACCGATAGATTTACATTCTCCATAATCAGTACGAAGGGGGGGGGGGGGGGGGGGGGGGGGGGGGCATAAACCTCATAATTCATAAATACCTATTATTCCCTCCGATTTCAAAATAGGTATTAGGTATAGGTATTTATGTATATTAATTTATTTATTTGACGCTCCCCCCCCCCCCCCCCCAACATTTATCGTGGAAATCAAACATTTTTTTGATTATATTCCTTGATCTATTTGATCAGTGAAACACTTTCAGTAATCGTGAAAATAGTGTTACAAAAATAATAAATTAGAAAGGATATCACATTGTACAATGTATTGCTAAACTAATATAATTGGCCTATAATTGGGTGTCATCCAGAAGACATTATTTGCCCTTCTCCCAAACGGGGGTTAAATTGTGTTCATAAAAGTGTAATGATTTAAAGCTTTAAATAATTTAGATATACCTAAAACCATCACAAAATTCAACCTTTGGAAAACCTTTGAATGATCAACGGTATTTTAAAACAAACTACCTCCCAAAATTAAAAATAAGCATCTTGCAATTTTTATTGTGGTAAAATTAATACTTAGAAAGTCAGCCTTAGATAATAAATAATGGTCACGGGGTGGCTTCTTAAAATCTATATTTGTCTGTCCAGAATAGTATCTAACAGTATCTTATAACATATCACAAAAAGCGGAAATGATTCTAGTTTCTAAGCGACTTAAAATAAATTAGTCATCTTAAAGCAGGTGATGCTCCTAATATGGTACCACTTGGTTTTTGGTAAGAACAATTCTCCCGACTACTGAGCCCACCACAAAACCTGAAATTAAGATATTGTGTTTTACGAAAATCAAACAAAAAAGTTGCATTCATATTTAGAGTGGGAGTGGAAGGCCAAGGAGAGGCTTTTTAAGTCAACTTAATTTAAGACTGGTCAAAAAGCTTTTTAACTTTTAGTTAAGATGTCTGTTGTTAAAAATTCTACATCTATTGTTAAAAACATTCCAGAAATACAAACTTTTTGGGGAATTTGCTTTGTCGGAATGAAGATCATGGACACTTAAAATTTGTTAATAATGAGAAATGTAGATGCAGATGGTGCAATCTTACCTTCCAAAAGTTTGTAGTGAGCGCAGTATTGCAGCAGGAGGCGACAAAAGCCAAACTAAGGGGAATTTAAAATTTCAATTATATGCTCCAAAACGTAATTCCTACAGGGGGATGTTTTTTTGGAAGGTAAGATGACGTGAATTAATATCGAAGACCAACGTCGCTGCTTGCTACTTCATTTTAAGGTTCCCCAAAAAATGAGGAGCTGACGCACAAACGACAGTGCAACTTACATCATGATTTAAGAAGGAATACGGACATTATAGCTTGTGCCAGAATTTAACATACATTCTTTTAAAGCTGCCTCCACTAATTCTGATATGGATGAAGCGCCCTCCAAAACTTCAAGCGAAGCTAACAAGCCGAGCCCTGTGCCAACTTCTGTAGCTGAAAGTAACTTTATTAATTTAAATAATTATAATTGGAAAACAAAAGCAAATTATAATTCACCTTCCAGAGGGAATTGAATGTTATTAAAATGGAGACAGTAAAAAAGAAAACGATTTAGATACAAATTACTGAATATTTATCACAACAGTCACAGCAAATGCTGTGACAAAACATACCCAGATCAGTATGTGTCATTAGACCATGGGACACAGCTGTTGTTGACATTTTGTGGGCCAAACAAACGGAGATAGCAGCAGATTTTCGTCCCTCATTTGCCATTCTCCGTGAAATTACAGTTTTACCAACATTGAAGGCAGTAGATCCTGCTCTACGAAAGGATCCTGATAACATCCTAGACAGTAGACAATTATTTTTTTTTTGCAGGAAATTTTGTTGAATAGTATAATATTATATAATTTATGTATTTAATTCTCATGGTGCCCCACTACAAACAATGAAAACTTTCATTAATAACCACGTTGTGTACATGTTCAGGACTATCTAAAAAGCAGATTTCTGTCCTAATAGTCACTGACACCTGAATTCAGCTCTGTGATGTATTATCAATCAGTCAAAAAACATAATCGCTCAGTCTCAGGGTAAAGGTTACAAGAAAATGGGCCCTAGGCAAACATTTTAGAAACTCAGGAGCTTGATAAAATCGTACTAACATTGAAAAAATAAAACTTCTGTACACATGAAAATGAACTAGTAGAAACTACAAGAAGCTGAACCATACATAAGTAAGAACCCCGCACTAAACATTTTAATGAGCCCACCCCCTCCTCACAGTTATCTCAGTGGTTAACTAGTGTTGAGCTGTAAGGTAAACGGGGTGATCGTTTTATACTTCGATTACATTGTACCATAAAACTAACTCCAGGCAAAAGGCTTGTACCGGTAATGTCGGTCCGCCACGGCGTCGATCATAACGAGCCTAATACGATCAGCAATGGTTTTATTATTAATATTGTTGTAGGATATTAATTTGTTTATCTGATGTTTTTTTGGTTAATATTAATATTATTTTTTCTGAGGATCCCGCATAATAAAGAACTTCATTACCGGTGTACGGGGTCAGAGACTGATAGGAAGCAATAGTGGCTCTAAGCTCGACTGAACGTTCTCATTCAAGGTTGACATTATCGCGTCCAAACATAAGTTATAAAATCAAAGAGCCAAAGTTAAACGAATAGAATGTCGGTTCAATTATGAGAAGGGGCTGACGAAAACATGCTACTTGAGTTACATACGTTAGATTGAGTGCCACCACCCTTCCGCTAGCAACCACAAGAAAAAGGAACCCAACAACAAACCATACAATAAACAATAACACCCCCCCCCCCCAGTGGCGTAACTTTGCCTGTTGGCGCCCCCCCCCCCCCCGCTCAGTGACGAAAAGCGCCCCCCTAAAAATTTTTGTGTCCCTAAAAATTAAAAAAAATTAAAAAAAAAAAGGTTGGGTACTTTTTTTCTCGCCCCCCTACAGCTTTAAGCGCCCCCTGAAGCAAAAAAAGGGTACCCCAAATATTTTTTTCGCGTCGACCGAGCGCTAAATTGGACAGGGAAATACACAAAAAAGGCGTTTTTTCAGTGAAAGGGCCTAAAATTCAGGAAAATTGCGCCCCCCTTATCCGGCGCCCCCCCCCCCCCTCCCCCCCGCATAGCGGGGTCTGCGGGGGCCTAAGTTACGCCACTGAACCCCCCCCCCCCCCCCAACAACAACTACCTCAATACCATATAAAACTAATGACAGGTCAGGAATCCCATGGGGAAAATACGAATAAACGGGACACCACCAACTAAAAGTACGGTGCACACCAATCACAAGCATCATATTATTATTGGGCACATTGTTTGATTTGGTTTATGATTTTTTAAAGGTAGTGGAAGTGGTCCATTTCAACTAATATTATTTTTAAAAAAGGGGGGACCCCCAACCCATGTAGCTGAGACACCTCACAGCAAGTAGACCAAAGTGGCTCTTGCTTGTGAAAGGTGCGTCAACTACCCGCCGAAGCGGTGGGTTGGGAGTCCCCCCTGGGATCATTTCGTCCGTAAAATTATATACAACATAAAATAGTACAGTAAAATATCAAAATTTACATAAACAAATCTAGGAGACCTCAAAGCTCGTCTTCTGGGGGATGAGGTTGAAGGAGATGTCATGCAGTTCAAGATGCTGGGCCGTTATTGGGCACATTAGAAGTACCAATATATCAATGGTTGATCTGGAAAACGTGACGTGGTGTGTAACAGTGTACACCTATAGAAGGTCCTTCCGGACGCTTTAATATAATATATCGCATTGCTTGCGGTAAGTACCAATCCCCACATGAAATAAAGTAATAACAAATAACAACTCGTCGCTAGATATTTTGTGAAAATATGATAGTGCAGTGTTCGAGTCAGCGCTCGATTTTCATACTACATACTACAGTGTGAATCTGCGAAAATATGCGCGGCGCGCCTAAATTTTCAGTCGCATTCTAAAAATGTTTGCCATAATTAAATTGTTCATACTAACTACATTTATATGATACTCAATATTGAATAATTAAAAGTAGTTTTATTTATGAAATTTTGTAAAGGGATAGAAGTAACAAAAATAAAATACGCACAAAAAATGCTTAAATTTGCCCAAGGAATTGCTCTAACCAGAGCCCTCTCGCTTGCAGTAGCGCACGACCGAAACAAGCACGTCACGCAGTACGCGTAGACACATGGCTATGTGAACCCAAGGAACAACTATAATTGCTATATTTCATATTTTAAAACTGTCTTGTGTGGCTCATGATTAATAAATCTAACTTTGTGCAAATTTTCCGATGTGCCAGCAATCCATAAAACCATGTGGTTGTTTCCTTTGCTATTGCCGCTTTAATTTCGCGGCAGGCGTTGTAGGTTTACAACTTACCAGGACGCGCAAGTTGGACTCGTCGCGTCGACGGAGAATTGGAATTGGAACAAATATTTTACGAGTATCACACGTTAAGGCGGGCGTTGCTACATAACCATACTATACGTCCATACACGTTGTATACGTTTATCGTGCTAACCGGCCTTTTGTGGTAAATGTGGCTGCATGTGCAGTAGCTGCATGCCTTGTACAGCTTGACGTGACGGATGTCGCTCGTCTAAATTTCTTCGAAGTAGCGCGCGCCGCTTTCTTCTCGAAATGTTAGCGCGCGCCGGGCCAGATCATTAACAATGGTCAACTTGTACCACGGCGATTGTGACCACTGACCCTCATTGTCATTTAATTTAATTTACTTTTAGTGACAGTATATCGGGGCGAAAGCCACGATTCAGCCGCGAACTCGTAAGCGGTGGGCCTAACCCAGAAAACCTTACCGCCTGCTGGGCTTGCTAGAGGTGATAGATTTTCAACAGCACGTATGGCGTCGCGCGTCACATCGAGTTTACCTTTCACACGCTGCATTTAGTTTAGTAGTCATGAGCCGGTAG